GTGCCGCTTCTCCGTGACGAGTATACTCGTCGAGCACAGCTAACTGGTTAAAAAATCGTTAAAAGCGTAACCGTGTCAAATTTCATACGCATAAAATGCACTTTCCCACGTAAAATGTCAATACTATGAGTCAGAAAAATTATGTTTAATTATATATAATAATTATATATATTAATAATTTATAATTTTATAATTTTAATATATTAATAATAATATATTTTAATAATTATCTTTCTCTTCTAACAAATTTCTTTACTTTTTTCTAAATTTTCTAATTATGAGATTTTGCAAAATTGTTGCAATTTCTCTCTGGAACGTTGCCAAACCACGTCAAACAGACTATCGGTCCGCGCTAAGAGGATTAAGACTGTTGCCAGAAGCATAGTGACAAGACCCACCGAATCGATTTTAAAACATTTATTTGAATGTAGATTACAGATATCAAGAGTAACGTAGTACTATTCTTAGGAGTGATTTTTTTTCGCGCCCGGAGGGGCGCGTGTGCACCGAAACAGTTGCTTACCGATACGATCTAAACAGAGTTCCATGTCGTAGATGCTGTAACCGTGTGGGCGGGAATACAATCTTATATACAAATACTGCGAGTCGAATATCTACAGAGCCGGAACGCTCTCCGCGCTCGTGTCGTAATCGGCGAGTGCGCGGCGCGGGTGAGCGTCCTTCGAAACGGTGGAAAGGCGATAAATAATTATTTGCTCGTGATAGAAATTGCATTACGGTTCGGTGGAAAACCGTCGGCGTGGAATCACGTTGTTCCCCATCGAGAAACCGGCGTCCGTTTCCCTCGGACACGATATCTCGATCGATCCTGCACAGGATCCAGCGTGATCCCGCGTGGCCGCGACAGTTCCACGAAAACTTTCCCATCGCGTCCGATCGGCTTAACGCTTTCTTACAAGGATAATTCGATCTCTCCGCTAGTGCCGCGACGTCGCGGCACGATAGAAAATATAAAGTCAACGTAAAAGTATTTACAATATTTTGCACTTCTCGCGGGGAGAACGCCGACCGGCCATCGTCGCTCGTCGGCCATCTTGAGCATCGCCGTAATCTCATACACCGGACAATCTTAACTTAATCGCTCTACTATGTACACGTGCGACGAGTCGACACTCCCATATACATCCTCGTTATTTATAATAATAATCTATCGAAACCGAGTTAGTAGAAAAGTTCTTGAGCGGCGGCGCGTTCGCGACACGCGCGTATAAATACATACATATCGTCAAGTATAAAAGCAAATTTGCTCCTTGTCGTACGAAGGAGGGAACATAGTGTTTCGTCGTCCAGAATGCGCGTTACGCGCCGAAACAGGAACGCGCAGCTGCCGTACTTTCTTAGGAGAAACGGGGGAAAAAAATAAGTCGTAGAGCCGAGACGTTAATCGCTGGTGGCGCTAGCAGGAACGCTGGCGTTTCGAGTTACAGTTTTTACCGTCGTCCGATTAGTTTATAAATAAGCTATTATTACGTAGAAACTTGATAGCGCCTCCGCGATTAAATCGGCCGCAACACGATCGTGCAAACTGCTTCGAACTATTGTTCGATGTCTTCGTTAGTATTCATAGAATACACTGGCAGAGCTGGGTCCTTCGACTTCGACGCATTCCGTGCGAACGGTCCTCGTATTTCTCTAAATGATTCTCTCTTAGCATCGCTTGTAATCTTAGCAGGGCAATTTTAACAGACTTCGAGTGAGAAATGATCGATAGAGAAAAATATTTTACGCGCATCTTCGATCGTCCGCAAAATTGTGAATGATAAAGATGCTAACGAATTGCGGAGTACAGTTATGTCTCTCTTACTGACGCTCAGATTGTCCACTAAAATGGACAATTTGAGAAGAGGAGATAAGATTATTCCAGCCTTGCGCTCAGATTGTCCACGAAAATGGATAATTTGGGAAGAGGAGATACGATTATTCCAGCCGTTTTTACAATTGTGGACAATTTATAACTATAAAAATAAACCGAATAATCGTATCTCCTCTTCTCAAATTGTCCATTTTTGTGGTCAATCTGGGCGTCAATTAGAGAGACATTACTGCATTTCGTAACGATCGATCTTCTGTGCGTTTCAATCATTTCCAGGCTAATTGTTAGAAATGATTGATGCAGAAACGGCATTTTTCTTGTAACAGCTAAGTGCTGTACCAAGATCGAAAGTTACGTTATCTTTTACTATTCGAATGACGACTCTGAGGCACCAATAAAATGTACTGAAATTTTAGTCAATTTTTGCATTACCGAATTCGTATGAATTTAATATACTGCTAAAAATTCCAGAGTAGTATCAGTGTGTAATTCTACATCGAAAAAAGAGAATAAAAATCCAGAAAGAATAGAAATCTTCTAGGTCAAAAGAAAAAAAAAAATGTCTAGAGTTCTGGAATAAAAATATCTTCGACTTTGTTGATAAAAATATAATCGAGTATTGTTGGGATTTGAATTTGGGGCGTTCACTCCTCCACATCGAAAGCATTGCTTGTGAGAGGCCTCGATTACCGATCCTTCTTCCGTTTTCACGGAAGGTTGCGCAAGGTTGGAATAATCGTATCTCCTCTTCCCAAATTGTCCATTTTAGTGGACAATCTGAGCGTCACTAAGAGAGACATAACTGTACTCCGCAATTGTAATGCGAACGGAGCATACGTATGTCTACGCCGTTAAGATTAGCATTAAAATATAATAATAGGATAGTGAAGCCGATTATATACACTATGGGGTGACCAAATGCTGTGCCCTATTACCATTAAATTCTTTGATTCAAAAATAAGCGAAATGAAAGAATAAAAGAATTTAATACGTCTCATTCTATAAATATAACGATAATTATGTTCTAAAGCGAACCAACGGCACAGCAATTGATCAACCCACAGTAACCGGCTCCGCTGTCCTATATTATCGTAATGTTTAAATATATTCAATAATTCTTTCTGATTATTGGAAAAGCCTTTCCTTCGCGAACCGTAGGCTTCAATTTATCGGCCTCCTTTATAATTTTATTTACACGTTTATTTAAGGTATTTCTTTTTCTAAACACGTTAATTTTTCTAGAGGCCTTAATGAAATATATGAAAACCTAAATTAGTTGTCGGAAACTTGATATATTCGAATAATAATATGTAAATTTTAAGCCTTCATGGAGGTCCGAGTGTTAAAAGAAGCTTATATTTCAGTACTGCGGACAACGAAAGATCGAAGCCGTGCTGATTTTTCTCGAGATTCCCAAGTCTGGCCTAAGAGTCATTAAAATTGCAGTGTCAAGGTCAAGCGATGCGATCGGAGAGCGTGTTTCGTTCGTATATCGTTGCTATTAGGTTCGCAAAGTCCCGTCGAGAGCTGCTTTAACAGTCGCTAACAGCTGTTGGATAACGTCGTAAGATCGCGTGCCGAATCGACGCGGTTTCGAAACGCGAGAAGATGTTGCGCAACTGCTCGCTAGCACCGCGACGATCCGCGGCCCGCGAATCCGCGCGAAGCGTCCCCGATTATGGCAAATATGGCAAACGTCTCGTGTCGAATGCGCTCGTCGTTCTCCGCCTCGAATAAATACACGGTTCACGCGGGCTGGCTTCGTTTTTTCCGACGAGTCACACGGTCCGTCGTCTATTTACAAAAGGCCGCTTGACTTTGCAATATTGTCGCATGCTCGCGAAAACGCTCGATGCCCGCCTATCGCGCGACGAGAGACACTCGCATCGCCACGAGCTGTGTCGGTAAAAAAAAAACGCAATATAAATCGTTACTCAACTTTAAGTGGATAGAGTTACATCATTTTATCGGAAGTCCATTAACATGTTAATTACCGTGGTGCTCGTATAGGTGACGCAAGTTTTTTAACCAGATTTTGAGACTCGCTTATGCCGTGATGCGTTTGCATAAATCAATTTTTAATTGAACTCGGCGACTGTCCAGCAAGTACAGTAATGTCTCTCTAATTGACGCACAGATGGTCCACAAAAATGGACAATTTAGGGAGAAGAGAGACGATTATTCGAGCCTTGCGGCTCGTTTTTACAGCTGTCGACAATCGGTAACTATAATAAACGAGGTGCAAAGCTCTAAAAATTGCATCTTCTCTTCCCAAATTGTCCACTTTTGTGCAGAATCTGAGTTAGGGAGACATTACTGTAATTCCTGAGATGAATTCTAATTTCCTAGCATCGTTCACTTTTATTAATATTTTCGTAATTCGTGTGGTAAAATTGAATCCAATCACAGTAGTGTAACCACCAAGATGCTAATAATGGAAAAAAGATGAACATTTTCCTTCGAATAATAATCTCAAAAGAAGCATCTCATTATTTGCAAAATAATAATATTATAAACGATACACAGCAACGACTTCAATTTTCCAAGGAAATCACTATATCGTTTCTAAAAATCCTCATTGACAAAGGTCACAGAAGCTCCGTTCTTGAAGAGCTGCCAAATAAGAATACTTTCGGTGTTCAAGAATCTCCGCACTCGCACAATGTTAATAGACTTCCGGTAGTTCGAGCGTTACCTATCATGCAACATTTTTGCGTCTCTCGTTCCATCAACAATCTCCTCTAACCACGTAACAGAGTGTCATAACATCTCCGCTTCTCTATTGCACGCACGACGGAAAAAAGCGTTGCTCGAGGAACGTGACAATTTCATTCATTCATAACCATAACAAATCCTGGAGCGATCAACGTGAACGTCGCAGTGGTCCACGGATCGTCCTTCGAAACCGAATCTCGTCTACCGACTCGAAGTCGCGCGCATAATTTACCATATTTACAACGCTAGTGACTCGTCCAGCTCCACTGCTCCCGCTTCCGACCGCTGCCAACAATCGCCAAGAAATACCATTCGCATCCCCCGAGGGTCCCAGCCGCAGCTTCCGAAAGCGCGCCGAGTCGTCGCAACGACGAACGGAGAATCTCGTCCGAGGCTCGTCCGCGACTCGGGCAAGCTCGCACTCGACGACCGCGTCGAACGCTATGGAAAATGATCTACAGAGTCCCAAGGTCCTCGTGTCAGACGTAGACCTCGCCCCTCTTGCTATTGGCGATGGACGCCGCGGCGGGCATGACGGTGGTAGCCGTTGTGGGACTCGTTCCCAGTCCTCCGGACAGGGAAGCGTTGGTGCAAGAGACGCTGCTGATCTTCCTGGAGTCCTGAACCCGGTGATTGGGTCTGCAGACGTCGTGGCCGATGCTGTTCGTCCTGGGACGCGTGTCCTGTTTGCTGAGCACCATCAGCCTGTCGATGTTCGGGGGGTCGTGACCGTTCGACACCGAAGCTGCCCGGTTCTCCCTAGGCTGGAGACCCGGGGAGTGCGGCAGGGACATGCTCCTGTCCTCTCTGCACTGCAGAACAGGTGGCCCGGGCAGAGACGCCGATCTCCTGCCGCGAGGATCCGAGCCTGGCTTGGAGCCCTGCGCGGTTGGCACGGTAGCTACCACGTAACTTAGTCTCTCGGGGTTCATCAAGATAGGGGATCTGTCGTTGTAGCTGCCGAACGTGGGCGAGCTGCCGTTGCTACCCAGAGGACTGGCAGTGTCGCCGATCAACGGTGTGCTTCTGTCCTGGCTGATCAAAGGCGTCGATCGCTCCTCCTGGCCGGTTATGCTACCGCTCCTGCTGCTGCCGCTCCCGGAACCCTCTTCCTCGCTGCTGTTCACCTCGGTCAGGGTCGCCTGAACCCCGTTGGGGAGCGCGTTCGACCTCAGCATCGACGCCGACGTCGTCGTCACCAAGCCTAACTGCGTCAGCTGGCTCATCGTGACCGGTGTCAGGGTCATGGGAGCTACCAGGCCCGCGCTGGTCAACGTCGGCGATAGCACTGCCTGCGCCAAAGCCGCTGCTCCAGACTTTCCCGTCGATGGGGTCCCTTCTGCTTCTTGGATGGGCGAAAGCACCACCTGCACCACCGACAGGTCCGTCGGATAATGCCCGTTGGCTGGTATCACGCCGACCACGCCTGCTCCAATGTTGGCTGCGTTCGTCGCCGATAAAGCCAGCTTCTGCTCGCGGTCCACCACCTCTTTCGTCACGTCCGGGGTTGGGATCCGCGGCCTGTTCTTCAGGGAGACCGGCACTGAGTTCAGCTTCGTCATCGTTCCTGGGAATTCAGAGAGTTCGATTAGGCTGGCGGCAGACATGGTTTTTTGAAATAGTCATTTACGGATTTTTGGGCAGATCTTGTTTTAAGGCTGCAGATTGTCTTAACCCTTAGCGCTCCACGCGTTTCTCGAGTACTACCTACCAGCAACTCCGGCACATTTTTGGAGCAAAGCGCCTGAGATAAAGGAAGTCTTATTTGGAGCGGAAAAGATTACACGTCCTTGCGAAAGCGTTTGATTTTATTCGTTTTATGTTGCTAAGTATAAGAATGGGCAAAAAATGTTTTAATCGTAATGGTATCTACTTAACATTGTGCGAGGTCGGCGCATCGACATCGTGAATTGTGACCGAAATTTCCAAGCAGCGAATGCATCCTCATCGAAACGGGTAAATTTACTATTAATGATATTCTTCGCAATTCTTAAATAAATATATCCCTCGTGTTCTTTGACGCGATTTGTTATAAAATTAGCATCGCGAATCGTCCGTTGAATTCTGTTCGGATACGGAATTATTGAAACAAAAATATCTTTTGCGCGAGTTTGCCGGAATTTTTTTATTGTTAATCTTCGCTGGAATCGGCTCGATTAATAATTAAATTAAATTAAAAATTAGTAAATATTCTTCGGACGTTCTAAAATAAAGTTGAACAGCGTTTTTCTTATAAATATCACTACCAGCAACTCCGGCACATTTTTGGAGCAAAGCG